TCCTGCTGTTTCACGTCCACTGAGAGGCTCCTTCTAGCTGCAGGTACCCTGCTCACCAGCATGCACACCCGCAGGCACCCCACACCTCTAGATGCTCACCGCATTTCTGAAGTCCTCACTAGGAAGGACAAGAAATGCTGTCTGAACGAGGCTTCGCCGTCTCGTCTTGAGTCATGTCAGTTTCACATTTTCTGAGAGCAAGAATGCTTCCCTTGTTCGCTGCCCCCCCAACCCCCACCCCCAGGCAGGTAATGCACCTAACCAGGTGGTTTATACGAACACAGGGACCAATGCTCCATGTGACGGCTTGTGTCAGTCTGGGTTGACTAGAGGAACAAATCCAGGGACAATCGTGTGTGTGAGAGAACTGTATGTCAAAAAGTAATTGTATATTGAGAAAACATCCCCGCCCAGGCCAGATCAAGTCCATCAGTCTGATATTAGCCCATATGCCTGATAGTAGTCCATGAGTACCATGAATTCTTATACAGACTCACGATGCTGAAAGCATGAAGCTCACAGGCCAGTGGAAGCATCTCAGTGCCGGCATGGGTCTCCACATGGCTCCTTCAGCTCCAGGGCTCTGGCTCCATCAGTGTGTCTCCAATGTGGCTTGTCAACAGGAATGTCTCACAGGGAGACAAGCAGAGAGTGTATCTGGCCTCCAGTGAGCTATTTATCTCCTTGGCGCCTCCAAATGAGGTCATCACGCTGCGACCTGATTGACTGGCTAGACTCCACCCTTTCACAAGTTGACAGGAGGATCATGTAACTGCTACACAGCATCTCTTTTCATTTGAACAACGTAGAAGATGGTTTCCATCCACTTGGTTCAGTGATGGACCTTTGGCCCATGGAAGGCCATTAGCACACATTTGGGAAAGTCTAACATGAGTGGAAGGAGCTACGGTAGTGGCATGAGTTACGAGTTGGGCTGTTGACCATGAGATCAGCAGTTTGAACCCACTAGTCACTTCTCAGGAGAAAGATGAGGCTGTCTATTCCCGTAAAGATTCTCACCCTCGGGAACCCACAGGGACAGTTCTCCTCTGCCCTACTGGGTCACTGTGGGTTGGAGCCAACTCAATGTGGTAGCTTCGGGTGGTCCAATGATCATGAGCTTGATTGCTAACTGGAAGCTCACAGTTTGCACCTGCCAGTGGCTCAGTGGGAGCAGAGACCTGGCCGTCTGCTCCCACGTAGACTGTAGGCTGGAAACCCAATGGGGCCATTCTACCATGTCACCCGAGAACCCACTAGATGGCCCACAACTACCACCCAACAAAATTCGTTTAATTTGGGAATGAGGTTGGTCTCAGTCAACTCTCCATCAGTACATGCGACAGGCTTCAGAAAGTCTGTGGGCAACACGTGGGGTTGGAAGGCAGCGGAGCCCCCCATTCACTTTGTCAGGCCCCTCCTGTGGAATTCCCATCTACTCACGTGATGTGTCATGCGTGCTTCTGGTTGCCGGCTCCATTGGATTGTTGGAACCCAAGCTTTTCTGACCGGGACTTCATGTAATCTGCACGGAAGGTCTGGGCCAGGTCCCTGTTAGGCCACTGTAGACTGTGACCGGGGACCCACCAGCCCTGTGCTGAAATCTGTGAGCCCTGGTATGCTTCAGCATGTCAGGTTCTCGGGAAGATGCTCAGTGTAAGTGCTGGTTTCCTGTTCCGCAGCCTCGGCTTCATCTGGGCCCCCCACGTCTCGACGGGACCAGAAAGGGTAGACTAAACAGAGTCGATGCCACCCCTGTGGCCCCAGGCAGGTGGTGGGAGGATGCCCCCGGCCCAGCCTGCATGTGTGTTGGCAAGTGGAGACAGTCCTGCTGGTTGGCAGAGCTAGGTGGGTTTAAGGTGGGGCAGAAGGACTGTGGGTCGGGGTTGGGGGTGCCAGCCCACTGGGCAGGCCCGCCTTTCTCCTTGGAGCTGGGTGCTGGGCGCTGGCCTTCGACCTGGGTTTGCTAATGAGCTTGGCAGTTCTGAAACTCTGGACTGGTTTCTTATTCGACTCTGCTGTGGGAGTCTTTTGGGGAATATTTCTCCCACGCCTGTGTTCGAAAGTGGTGTTGTCTGCAGCTTCTCAAAGCCTACTGGGCTGGCTGTGTAAGTATATTGAACCGAGAAGCCGATTCCACCCCCACTTTGCAGGGGTGTGTGTGTGCAGATTCTGGAGTTAGTACTTGAATTTTCTACTGGCCACTGGCCCTGTCAAAATACCCCACTGACATCCGCTACCTGCGTAGGGCTGTGAGGGGAGTGACTACACCCGGGAACTGCACCTGAGCGCTGGCCGGCCAACCACCTAGACTCCCGTGGTCCTTTAAGGTTATACTGGAGTTCACTCAGCCCTGTGACAGCAGCCGTCATCACCAGACCAGCGAGTTCAACCACTTCCTGCACACAGCACGTGTTCTTCATGCCCGGTGGACACGGCGCAAGTGCACGGGCAGGCGTGTCACGGCGCAGTGCATGGTACCTTGTAAGACGTAGGTCTTGGTAGCCCTAACAAGTGCCTAAGTTCCTGCCTTAGGTATGCCCCGTCCTGTGTTTTTAAATCATAACTTAGG